AGTATTTTAAAATGAAAGAAAAATTCATTTAATGGGAAATGTGAGTGTCATGTTACATGACACATCTTGTGTCATGCCATAGGCACAAAAAAGTGTGGGTCCCATTGAAAATAAAAATAAAGAAAAAATAAAATAAAGATGTGGGTCCCACATTTTTGTGTTTATGGCATGACACAAGATGTGTCATGTAACATGACGCTCACATTTCCCTTCATTTAATATGGAGAAAAGTACAGCTGGAAAAATGAAGTTTTCCCAAATCAAACAAAAATATTAAAATAAAAAAGAAGATAACAAAGAAAATGAAGAATACAATGGCTTAATTCCTTATCCCTCCACAAGCTATGGGAAAAAACCCCTGCCCCCTTAAAGAAATCATCAACACAAAGCCTACGAGTAATCTGTTCCATAAATCTCTAGCATTATTTTTTAGCCAAATACACCATACGCTATAGTGTACTTACACAAAGCATTACAGGCCTCCATACTGAGGCAAACAATTATAAGCTAATTAATTTTAGATAAGGCAAATAGAGAAAAGTGCTTAAACAAAATATTCTTCAAGTTAAGCCAATAGGATTGGTCTAGTGATGAGGGATTTGGGTAGTTTACACGAGGTCATAAGTTTAAACCTTAGTGCCACCATTGTATCAAAAAAAAATTCTTCAAGTTGAGTCTACATTGGAAACGGAGAAACTGTGTGTTTTAATATTTAAACCAAAATGCATTACGAAATAGAAATTCGCAACTGAAAACGTCAACAACAAAGTCTTACTCCCACTAAGTGGGTTTGGCTACATGGACTCAGGAATTATAACAACTTTTAAAAGCTAACATTCCTACACTTCACTCAAATAACAATGGGTGACCTTGGTACCCCAAAATAGCCATTGTCTCATTCATCTAGGAATATTCAATCCCAGTTGGTTGAATAAATGAATATGCAGAAAAGAACAGCTACTATTGACTGATAGCAGTTCCAAAAGCCAATAAGGTCAGATGCACTAGGTTTTTCCAAATCTAAAACTAAACTGAGGACAAAGATGAATAGAAATTGAAGCTGTCAATTGAAGAAGACATGTTCCTCAATTTGAAGACCATTTACTATCCCAAGACTGCTAGTGTTTAAGTAATTTGACCACCTTTGTTGCAGCTCCTTTGCCTATGATAAACCCCCATTACTAAGGTGTATGCTACAAGGAAAGGGATGGGAAGTAAAGGATCAATACACGTGGGTAAGGACAGAATGGGAAACAACGGGGAATATTCATGCTGATAATCTGGAACATAACCAAATGCCAAGCTGGTAGAGGGAGAAGGCAGGAATTCAGTTGTGGAAAATGAGAGTCTAAGGGGGAAGGATAGCAAGTCTGAAGGTAGCCAATACTTCAGTTCAGGAGTGGGATTGGAAGTTAACCTAGTTGCTGCAATTTTCCATTTCTGTTTCTTTCTTATCTCAGTTTCTGTAATTTCTGGGTTAATGCAGTTTTCAGCAACATCAGAGAGGATTTCTATTAGCCTTCATGTGCTGAATGGCCAACCTCAATCTTATAACAAGAAAATCATAAAATAAATGGACTACAAAGGTGATGAAGCAGGCAGATTATTGATTTCATGACAATTAAAACCAACAAAATTTGTGGCTATGAAATACAAATAACAGAGATCAAGAAACAGTAATTTGTAAATATGATTTCATTTTCAAACCAAAAACAGGAACAGGGTCAGGAATGATACCTTGAAAAGAGGTCCAAGAAATCCAGCATCAATGACTTCAGATATATAGTTACAGATTCTTGTTGGATCAAGAATGCTAAAGAAATTAACTCGACTCTTGAAACCTTCAAAAAATTACCAAAATGTAGAAAAGTTCAAAAAAAAAAAAAAAAAACTGTAAAAGGTAAAATCTCCAAACACAGAAAATATCCTAATGTGGCATACCTCTTGGATATATTGTGTGCTTACTGCACCACAGCTTTCCATGCACAACAGATCCCAAACCTATAGGCTTGACAGAAGTACCAAACATTTGCATTAGGCAGCTTTCGCCTGCCAAAGATATACTTGTATTTGTTGTGTCTGAGACTTCCTTTTTCAATACATTGTTGGGCTGCTTTCCAGAATGTGAATCCATTTGCAGATCCACCGCAAATTTTCCACCATCAAATGTACTAGAATTATGAACATCCCTTGTACGTGATGAAAAATCTGTCTTCACAACAGAAGACAAGTGTGATAGGATACTGTCACCACCAAGTTCCATGTTGTCCTGTTCCTTTCCGGCCTCTGAACAACATATTTTTTCCTCTACTGAAACACCCTTAATATGATGGTTATCAGCAATATCCATCAAACAGTTTTCATTTTCACCAGACATAACATCAAGATTTAAATCCAGAGAAGCTGTCTTATGCACCTTATTATCAATATAAGGAATCTCAGTTACATTTAAATTTGAACAATACCTGGTTCTTGTACCAGTTGAGATTTCCACTTCTTCATGGCTCTTGGTTTCGTATATGTCTCTCTCCATGACTGATTTATCTATGCAAACTTCATTGGCATCAGCAGAAACCATTCCGAAGTTTTTATTTGCCCACACCTCGATAGCAGGCAATTCTCCTCCTAATGCTTCAATCAATTTATTTAGCTCGTTTATAGTATATCAAAGCAGAACAAATCTTTTGTCCGTTCCGCATGAGCAGAACAAATTTGTGTGCTTAAGACAAGAATATCTGTCAGGAGAGCAATCACAACCTACAGCAGATAGGTGCAAGTCATAGAAACAAAAGAAGCATTCTCTCTCCTTGTCCAAATCAAACCCACTGTCGATATTCAGCAACTTAAAATGAGTTGGAAGACAGTTTAGCCTCTCTTCTTCCATCTTTACTCTTGTCTGTAAAAAATAAGGGTAACAAGAATTAGATATCTGCCCGGTGACTAAAACTAATTAACAAACAAATTAGTTCCAAAACTTTATGGAGCTTTCAAAATTTGCAGATGTGGGTATAATATGATCAAAGAGGAGAGAATGAGAGAATCATTACCTTAACTGCCTTGGTAAGAACTCCATCTTTCCCACATACATTTCTCCAATTCAAATTTTTTGGAGTTTCCTTTCCAAAAAGAGCTAGCTGTGCAAGGGCTCGTACAGCTTCCTTTGCTGATCCAAATAACATTCTGGCCATGCAAACTGTAAAGCTCAACAGCATTCTGGCCATGCATTAACCAATCAACAGGAGCCACATTCACTGCCTCTGCACAATTGAAAGCCACAATTGAAGCAAGAGTGGTATGCCCTTGGAAAGGTAATAACAAATTCCCCAGAATGCTGAACAGTACGATACACAGGAACTCCCTCAGATTTTAGAATTGAAGAAGATAACTGAGTAACCTGCTCAAAGAAGAAAATCATAACCATTAAAATCAGAATAAAATTCGCAAACTTAGAAGCTATGTACTGTACATAGAATGCTAAAATATCTAACACTTCTATAAGAACTGAACACATGCACTGGGGACTTCTGGATATAAACTAGGGTTATCATTATTAGTAGAAATACAAATATCAAAATTCAGCCAAAGGAGGGAAAGGTTATAGACACATTGATATGAGTGAACATCACTGCAGCAATAACAGAGCTGAAAGTTTATGTTCATACAGCATGCATCATAAGGGATATTTGTCATGAGGAACCATTAAGTCGTTAAGATGATGCTAACTCTCAGTCACCACTTTTTCCCAAACACACTAGCAACATAGTTGGTCAGAATCTAAAGTGAGCTTCAGTTCTTAGGGATAATAACTGATAATTTCTCTCTCTTACTCATAATTTAATACCTAATTACTATAGCTTCCACTTTACATTCATACATATAAAGGGATCTTACACCAGACTGATTACACCTTCAACCGATCAAAAAGTTATCATGATTATAGTTTTCTTAACTTCCATAAGTGCGTTGAGCATTCGTAGCACTCTGCACCCATAGAATATATGTTTTGTGTAACAGCCCGTTGTACACCGGTATTGTTAACATTAATATGATATTAAGCGCAGTTACAATCATAGCAATTCATTTATAAAAATGCGAATAAACTTTTTACGATTATTACGCGAGCATTTAAAACAATAAAAGCGTGATAATTAAAAAGTTGTAACCGTAACTGAAAATTTTTGCGAAATACTTATTTTAACTACTTTTACTTCTTACTTTACTTATTATAAGTTACTAAGGGGTCCCCATAAACCCACTTAGCCAATCACGTTTTTACTTCTTTGAACATGGTTCAGTAATTAATTTTCTGCAAACACATCGCTCACAACCAGACCTTCTTCTCAGTTTATATTTTTTTCTTACTTAATTCCCTTTCTAATAAGCTATCACACGCTTCAATCGGAGCTCATTTGCTCCAGTTATCGCCGTTTGAAGTTGAACAAGAAAAACAGCCAACCAACCCCAAAACAACTCAAAACCCTTCTCACTCCACGAATTACTGCAGTCAATCCTCTCATCCAATTACTCTCAAATTTTTATGCTACCAACTAGACACCTCGAGCTTCGATTTGATACATCAAACGCTTAATTTGACTGAGAGGCGAAGCGAGAAACAATTCCTCAAAAACCGGCCAGAACAGCCCCCAAGTGCAGGGCAAACAGGGCAGCTGTGTTCACAGCCCTCCCAAGTCCAGCGCCTAGCTCATAACAACCTCATATTTTACCACCATGTAGGGGACATCTCAAGCTTCAAAATGGCGTATGGCATGTCCCTATCGGACCTCTGTGGAGGGAGATATGCTCTCCCGAAGTTCGTCTAAAATCTGCCAATTCTACAGAAAATTCGCCAGAATTCCCTTTGTTTTTCTCAAAATCCCGAAATTGCAAATGATCACTAACACCTCAAATGTACCTAATAATCCAATGGGTGGCACACACAAGGACCAACAATTCCTTGGGGCACTTACAACCCTCCTTTTTACAACAATTCCAGGTCATATAAATCAGTATACAGACAAAATCCATAACTCTATATATGTCATATCAAAAGGTAGCTCTGTGCCATAACTACAACATCCTACGTCAACCTACATAAACATAATACATAACAGTATCACAAATATATAGATCTGTTTACAGGCTAGCATAGCCTCTAAAAAAACCCAGTTAACAACCATGCATTGACAAAATATCAAATAACCATATCACAGTTTAACATATATATACAACAGACTCCCAAAGTAAGCAAGCAACATCTATGCTCCGATCTACTCATCAACCACGGACCTCTTGCCCCGAGAACGATCGTCAACTGCTGCGATACCTGAAATATGTCCCCATAACGCGGGGTGAGAATGAATCTCAATAAACTTGGGGTTTATGGAGCAGTCTCCACCCAAGAGTCCACTTCCTGCAAGAAAATATCAAGTACCAAGACCTAGATAACACCATATAATCCATATTAAAATTTTTGTATCATATATCTTTTATGATAATTCTCATTTATTCTTATAACGTACTTTCTTATTAATCTTAAGTATGTTCATGTCTTATGTATAAATAAGGCTTTCATCTTATATTCGTAATATCGTATCACATTCAATAGCATACTCATAATGATCAGAGAACTAAAGTATCCTCGGCTATACCTTATGTATACCGTGATCATATCCATAATTGTTTCCTCTGTTCAGAAACCATAACTTACACTTCCAAGGCTTTATTTCATTGAAGATCATATCATATTAACTTATCATACCAAAATAATATCATATGCATGCACTATATGAATGCAACTATGCAAAGTATCAATATTAACAACAATATATCCATACGGAAACCATAATCGCCACTGATCATGGCGGAACCAAAGGCTGAGAAAACTCCTAAACCGAAAGCTTACCTGTCACCTCTTTCCTGCTGCTAACTTGCTATTTAATACACCGTAACTTGGTTGTCTACAAGTTGTTCGTCCACCTACTTCGTCCGATTTCACTCTGTTACCGTACATATAAAAGTACCATTAATTTCCAATGAAATATACATTACTTGAAATCCGAATAATTATATTTCATATGTTAATTTCATAACCAACTTGACAACTTTATTTCCCTTGACAGTTCATGCCATCCCATAAGTTTACAACGTAACTTATACTTCATAACTTAGACTCCCAACTAGTTAATTAATTTACTAATTTATAGTTAACATTTCATACACTTTTAACAAAGCTTCACGTATCTTAAACCATTCGAATCATACTTACTTATTCTAGAAAAATGCTATAAATCAATCACTTGAATTAAAAACACCCAATCTATGCCCATTCTTTCCTTCATGGCCGAACTCAATATATAAACATATATACAATTCTTTCGTTGCCATACTTAACCAATTAACTTGATTCTCATACAAATATTTATTACATAAAATTTCTGTTAACTTCACATAACTAACATCATAATATTGAACCTCACATAACCTAAAAAAAACATCTTCAATGATCATATACATATATATTTTCCTTTAATCTTGACAAAGTCCTTACCACCCTTCGTTGTGTAATTGTAACTACTCCAAGTTACTTTAGATTATATTTAACTTTTCTTTCTTTTTCTTTCTTTTTTTTAACACAACCACCACTTATTAACCTAATCTTAACTCATTAGGTTATGCCTTCACTTAACATACTATACTCACAATCCAATTATAAAATCATTACTAATAATCAACATTGATGTCTTTCAAGCATCAACTTAATCACCAGTATCTTACTTAACAGATTTGACATAAAATAGGTCTAATGACCTTTTCACCAATTAAACCATATTCCATCTTGATTTATTATATCAAGTGGACCCTAAACTACACTAAAACAACAACACTCACATTCATGCCATCCATTATCAACTACATTGAGAATTTAAAGTGGAATTATATATGATAAAGACAAGAATCAAACCCACATCATAACTAACGTGAATAGAAGATCAGCTGTGTCAATTCTTATTGACAAGTATACCATTATTTTCTTCTTTGGCTTCCTCAACTTTATAACAAATAGTATATCCAAAGCACCAAATTGATTAGCTTCCTATTACACCTACTTTTTTTTTACGTGTCCTCTTTCTACTTATTAAAAATTACACCTGGAAGTCTTCTCAACTATATTTGAAAGCACAAGTAATAAATAATCATCTGAGATAACAACCAAATTGCATCTTCTTCTTTTTTAATAATGCGGCTTTTGAAGCACCTAATTAACTTTCTAGTTGCAAGTTCTGTTTTTTTTTCCTTTCCTATCATTATAGATTACTTTGTTCATCAACGATATATGTTCCAAACATCTTCTAAACATATTTTTCAAGACTTAGAGATTTACCCCTCCTATTTTACCATTCATGGCCGAATGGCCTATATAAAGGGGTATATGAATTTTCTTTGAACCTTCACTTAATATATATTAAACCAATAATCATTTGGTCCATTTAAATCATAGTTCCATTTATGCATTTTAACAAACACTTAGTCTGCACTATTTTCCCTCACTTGGCTGATTAGGTCTTTGTACGTATATCAAATCCTTTTACTCATTTTGAGCATTTCCATGTTTAGTTTAACATAGAATCAACAAACAACCAATAACCATGCACAAAACCCCTTAAATAATTATGATATCTTGCATCCATAATCAGCCCTCATCATAGAAAACACTTGCTTATAACAAAATTTCCAGCCATTATAATTTAGGTGTATTACCTTAAATAGCTTCACTTGAACATAAACAGCATATTCCAACTTAAGGACTTGAAGAAAACCAAACTTCTACATCTTGGATGAACAGTACCAGCCCGCTTTAGAGAAGGCTAACTCAAGATATAAAACTTTCCAAGGTGAAAAGAATGGAGATTTAGGATCACAAGACCTAAAGCTATAAGTTTTGTATGATAAAATTTTACTAGTTTTGCCTAAATCTTCAAGAAATTCCTTGCCCTTTTTCCTTAGCAAGCTTCGGCCTTCATGAGAAGAAAGGAAAGAAAAGATGAGCGTGAGAGACCAATCCCAAGGGGCTGCCGACTTGTAACCTTTATGCTTAAATTCTATTGGTTACCTAATTGACTTCTTAACATGCTTAAGAAAGAAAGTGACGTGGGATATGTGAGGCACACACCATCAACCGACTTTTGGAAGAAAAAAAAAAAGAAAAGGAAAGATCATGTAACTTACATATTCACCTAATTGACTTTTCAACCTACACTTCCATTGGCTCACTTAAAAGCAAGAAAAATAACAACTAACGTAAATTTTGAAGTCAAAAGAGAGTTACCCACTTTGATGTTACAATTAACCAAGTGACTATGTTAGTTTACTTAATCAACTTTGTAACTTTTAAATTAAATGTTATAGGTTCATTTTTACTACATCTTTTACTTAATTTTAATTTATTAATCTAATCATCATTTAATTAATTTTAAGATACTTTGAAGTCACTAATTTTTCTAAACTATTTAATTATACATTCTAATCCATGTTTAGGCTTATTTTGTCTAATTACCAAAATAACTCTAACTTACACCATCATGACATTGATATTTTTAATCATATCTAATAATTATTTTTGGATCCATTAGACTATATTCTCTTATTATTTATCACATGAGTCTATCAATTTAACTCTCACAATTTCATTGCATAAGTATTTAATCTAGTTAATCACCTAATTAATTCATTTCCCTTAATTTACTAATGAGGGTTGTTATATTTTGCATCAACAAAAATCTCATTGCATTCATGAATTCTCTTTGTGGAAACAACAAAGTATCACTAAAGAAACCAATAACTCAAAATACTAGTCAAAAATTGAAAGCAATAAGGAAAAGTACAAGTTGTCGCATTCTACCAGTTCATTGAGTAGATTTGGTTGTTCCTCAAATAAATCAGGCAAGTTCTTCCTCATTGAATCTTCAAAAACCGAAGCATGGCATCCAGGTACTCCATACCATACTTTTGGGTCACCCCAGTGCAGATAATTAAGCTAATAAAGGTGATGATCCTCAACATGCTGTTCCAATGACAGTGTGTTATCTTTCGAGAAAATGTTAGGATTTGAAATGAAAGAAATGCAAAATTCAAGACCACGACATATTGTCATGAATCAACTATCCCAAAAACTTAAGTTGCGAAGACACATGAATAGTTTTATATTACATTTCTAACATGTCTCCTGACACAAAAACCATTTCGGGTTTAAGCATGGATAATTGACCGGCCCACCTACCTTGTACTAAATTTCCTTTTTTAATAGAAGAATGGACGCAATAAGGATTGAATTCAAGACCACTTGGTTTTAAAGGATCTAATACTATATCATGAACCAATCATCCCCTCTATAATCTCGGTTACTTCTAGATATTTATTGTGTCATGTTCTTTCGTGACTGAAAGGTCATGGGTTCGAATCCAGGAAACAGCCTCTATACAATTATGCAAGGGTAAGGTTGCGTACAAGAATTTTCTCCACCCCACACTCGCTAGTCGGGTTTAACGGGGAATGGTTTTTTTTTTAAACAACGAATGTTAAAAGTTTCAACCCAACTTTCATGAAACTTAACTTAAACTCATATAACACTCTACAAAGAGATACATACAAAGAATTGAGGCAAAATGAAAATTGGTAATATTCCATGTCAGTCTTAAACTTTTCCTTTGACATGGAAAAAAAGTAATTCTAACCACTTACCCAGCACAATGACGAAAAGCACGTGCTTTTCCTGAAATGGGTGGTCAAGGGGGGTGAGATTTTGGGGAAAATCTCAGTAAGGTTCACAGCTGGAGCATTCTCCAACTATGACGCTTACTCCTGCAACAGTTTATAATAACAATACAAAATGGAACATTTAACATCATCATATAAAAATATCATGCCATCATCATCATCATCATATTCCTGCCTGCTTTTACGGACTTACGGAGATACCCAGAGTCCTCGTCAGGTTGCAACTGGAGTATCAGTGCACATGCCAACATTTAATAGCATGGTTTTAAGTTTCAAAAATATCATAATCACATAATGTAAAGCACTATAAACATATTGCAGTCAGACCATAACTTATCATAGTTTCATAATGGTGGCATACATAGAGAGATTACTTCAACAACTGTAAACACTTACAGTGCTTGTCGTTCTTTACTTGTATACTTTCAACTTTTGATCTCTTTACTTGCCTGTTTGCTCCCTTGACTCCCTAACATCATCATATCATCTTTTAGTAACTTATATAACATTCAACATTTGTGTTTTATCCATGTATAGGTCTCGGCTTTGCAGGTTTAATTACCTAGAGGAGTTGTTTTACTTACTTACCCACTTGTGTAGGTTTTAGGACATTATTAGGTCATCATAACACTTAATAGAATTATTAAAGATTTCATTCTAGGCATGTATAGGTTCGGCCACCATAGATAAACATCTAGGAATATAATTTTTAAAACATGCTTTCAATTATATTATTAACTTAACATGGTTAGATCCTTTCAACATTAATCAAATAAAACCTCTTTTAGCTACATACCATTCGGCCTTATTGCCCTAAAATACCTAAGGGATTACTTCTAAAACATTCTTCTAACATTATTGATAATTTATCATATTTAAATCCTAGAGCATCATTCAAAACATCATCTTATATATTCGGCCAACTAAGGTTATGATCATGCAAAATTGATTTAGAACCTAGGCTACTAAACATGCTAATCTAACATCATCATTTCATCATCTTTCATATCATTTAAGCATCTCTTCATGCTTATAATTATCATACATGGTTCGGCCTTCTAGGGATCATATACTTAGGATATCACTTTCATGCTTTTACATGTCATTCCTAACCAAGAAGGTTCATAGGCTTACCTTTGATGATGATCAACGACTTAAGGAAACACTTCTTGACCTTTGACTACTTTGAATCTTCTTGAATGAACTTCCTTCCTCCTTGAACATACAAGGCCGCAAGCTTAAAGAGAGGAGAAGAGGGATTTTCTTGCTTAGAGATGAAGGGTTCTTTGGTGGAATTATTAGGAAGAAGGGCTAAGATCCAGGCTTGTATTTGATCTTGGAACAATTAGGTATTTCTCACTAACACACTCACCATTTCGAAGCATTCATGGACTTCACAAAATGAACTAAACTCTTTGTTCTTTCCTTTGGTAGTGCCGCGGCTGTAGAGGGAAAAAGGAGAGACTAAAGCTTGTTCAAATAGGCAACCTAGAAGCCTTGCCATTACTTGATTGCTGGTAGGTTTCGATCACATTAAATGAGAGTAAGGTGGTGATTTGTTGTCATAGGTTAGATTGCTTAATTTAGGGACAAGAACATGATGTCAATTTCCTTGATTAAGGAAATTTAGTGATTGCTTGATTTAAGGAAATTCGATTTGCATTTAATGGCTTGAAAATCAAATAAAATCAAATTCATTTCCTACACCTAGGCCGCGGATTTTAAATGCTTGGAAGGAAAAGATTTCCTTTAATTTTGGACCATGATTTATTCCTTAAGATTATGGACCTTTAACCTATTAACCTGACCTAATTTTTGCCTATTTTTCCATGATTTTATGACACTTTAAATTGACTTCTTAGAGCTTGTTTTCTCTAGTAAAACCGTGGGCTTCTTGCTTGTAGGGAAAGAATTCTAATTTAATTCCTAGTCATATAGTACTTCTTTAGGTTTATTATGTCATGGCCTTACTTTGGGCTTTAACTTGATTTGGGTTTCATTTACCTTATTGGACTTTACTTTATCATATAGAGCTTTCTTTGTATCACTTGGACTTGTCCACATTAAATGGAATTAAAACTTCCTTTGTTGGGTTATACTTTGATCCATGAATTCATTGGATCCCTAATGCTTATGTCTTTGGTCCATTGGACCCATACTTCTAATTTACTTAATCATAAACTATTTCATCTGAAATGTCTCGTTTATTAATTATCATAATTCTTCATTAATCATGATACAATATTTAGGGTTGTTATATCCTCCCCCACTAATAAAATTTTCGTCCCGAAAATTACTATAACTCGGGGTACTTCTGTCTAATCTCATCTTCTCGCTCCCAAGTTGCTTCTTCGGGAGTCCTTCCTTGCCATTGCACTTTTACCATGGGTATCACCTTGCTGCGAAGCTGCTTCTCTTCTCTATCCAGAATCTTGATTGGTACCACCGGGATCTTCAAATTAGGTCGTACTTCCACTTCATCCGGTAATACAACATGTGAGGGATCGGCTACATATTTCTTCAATTGGCTAACATGAAATACATCGTGAAGATTTGCCAAATTTGGAGGTAATGCCAACTGATAAGCTACCGGCCCCACCCTTTTCAGAATCTGATAAGGACCGATATAACGCGGACTTAACTTTCTTACACCGAGTGCTCTTCCAATACCTGTAATAGGAGAGAGCTTAACAAATACATGTTCCCCTACTTCAAAGTCTAGGGGTCGGTGCTTCAAATCATAATAACTCTTTTGTCTGTCCTGAGCCTTCTGCATCCTGTCACGAATCATCTTTATCTGCTTAGTTGTTTCGTTCACCATATCTGGCCCAAACATTTCTTTATCGCCCACTTCTTCCCAGCATACAGGTGTTCGACACCTTCTTCCATACAGAGCTTCATACGGGGCCATTCCTATACTTGCATGATGACTGTTGTTGTAAGAAAATTCTGCCAAAGGCAGATACTGATCCCAACAACCTTCTCTTTCTAAAGCGCAAGCTCTTAACATGTCTTCCAGTGTCTGTATTGTTCTTTCAGTCTGTCCGTCTGTCTGCGGATGGTACGCCGTACTCAATCGTAATTGAGTTCCGAACGCCTGCTGTAATGAATACCAGAATCGGGATGTAAACTTAGGATCCCGATCACTGATTATACTTTCTGGTACTCCGTGCAGTCTTACAATCTCCTTCACATAAATTTGAGCCAGCTTCTCTGTCGTGTACGTTCCTTTCACCGGTATAAAGTGTGCTGACTTGGTCAATCTGTCGACCACTACCCAGATGGCATCGTAGCCTGCT